AGGCTATTCGTGAACATGTTAGAACGCGTGTCTGTGACATTGTTACAGAGCAACAGACTACACACGACGGTACGATTGACCCTGCCACGTAATCTTGCACCATTAGGGGCGTCCATGCGCGTTATCATCGACGGGCGTGCTGTTGAAGATGATAAGGCTCCGTCGATACGGCGCCTGGAATGTTTAAATCGGTTTTTAAGGACTTTTACACTGCGAGCTGCGTAATTAACACCGATAACAACTTTCACGAGATTAAACGGAGACGGAAACAGGATGAACATCGTGAACTGCAACGATGAGATAACGATACAGATGTACCGGCGCAACCGGTTAGCATCATCGGGATGGAATTACATAACGTGAGAATTAGGAAAATAACTGTCTGAAAAATATTTCTGTCACGTATCATCGCGCGTGAATATTAATCTTTACGGGACGGAAAGTCATTACAGTGGCACTAAAACAGTGTCATATTTTGAGGCAAAAAATACAATTGTACAAAAAAAGATTTTGCTGCAGTATTAAAAAATTTTGTAGCTAAATACAGATCTGAAAATAATTTTGCTTCGACCATTAAAATAATTATGTAGAACATAGATTGCTAGAAATATCCAAATTTTTTGCAGTATTGCTTATTATATTTGAGTTTCCCATATAATTATTTTGATAGTTTAACAAATATCTAGTTAAATTTTTAGATACCTTAGTATCTAGAAATCCGTTCTTTTCGTATTATACCAAAGGCAATTAATCGACGATTGATATATTCAAGCTTGATGAGCAACGCTGCAAAAGTTTTAATATTCTAGCAACCAGCTTGAGCGTTTTATATATTTTGATTTTGTTTAATAAAACTTATCTAATTAAATTTTGTATCTAATATCTGTATATAATATCTAATATCTAATATCTAATATCTGTATCTAATTAAATTTTTTAACATTTTAGCACAAAATCATTTTTATACCGTGTAACAAATATTACAAGGAAAGAAAAGCTAAGATTTCAAAAATAAATTTTTAAAGGTAAAGTACAAATATTTATTTTCAAATGCTTTAAATCTAAAGATATTACTAAATGAAACGAGATCGAGTCACTGAAACCGTAGCAATAATATTGTGCGAAACGATACGAATATGAGTAATAAATAATAAAAAAGCAATACTTATGTTAGAAAATCAATCGAGTCCTTGGAATTTCTTATGCCGCGTTGAGAGATGCATGTGATTTCAGATTTAATGGCATTTGCGCGCTAGCGTACATTAGATAACAGTAAAATACTAGTAACACCAGTAATGCTTAGAAATAGCAACTGGCTCATCATTATATCTTCGTTAAATGACACGCACAGTTGTGGAGATTTCCTTCGGAATGCGCAGCGTTGAACGACCAAAACGCGTATGCACGGCATGGATAAAGCGGTTCTTGGACGTTCAATATTTGATATTACAATATCAAATATTGTGCAATAATATTGATCGCCTGGAAGCTATATTGAGCTTTCAAGTTGTTTGTTGAATTATTTAAGAAGGAGCATCAACAATATTGTACTATATATACAATAATATTGCCAAGCGAAGTAATTGTGATAATATTAAGCGTTTAGGAGCCGCTTAATACAAGAAGCGCTTCGTCGTAGATCCAGCAAATTATCCTGTCAATCGCGCAATAAAAGGTCCACGTGTTCCTTGTAGACGCGTCGGTTTTCTCCGCGATGAGGTAATCTCCGTCTTTTCTTCGCGAAAAGACATGAGATTACAGAGAGCCGGATATATATTGTGTAGATCGACTCAAATTATCCTTTTCGATCCGTTTTCGCTTGAATAAAAGCAATAATCGCTCGAACGAATTTCTTCACTCCCGACGTCATATTCAAAGTTGACGTGGCATCACGTTTCCTGATACGTACATAATTGTAGCACAAATGACGTTTTCCTACTTTACAATTATCTTATCCTTTTCTGACAAGTACTCGCTTTGCATTATCATGCTTGCGGAAACGACTCTGACGCATATGTTTAGTCAAAGTGGCTGATTATCTCCAAGTGGAAAGTCGAATGAAGATAATCGGATGAAATTTTCTTGTTCGTCGTGCGTGATAATTTGAAAAACGATAAAAAATTGCTAGAGAAAATCTTCGTCATGCAAGAGCGAGCAATAATTATCTAATCGTTATTTATGTAGCAAAGTGTTGGTTATTGATGCAATATAGTTTTGATATGTTCAGAAATAAAAATATATGCTCGTCTCAAATTAATCAATTAGTTATTTTGATGGTTTTGGTATATTGAGAAATTAAAATATGTCCGTCTCAAATTAATCAATCAAAAAAAAAACTGTTTGTTTATTATATAACAGTGAAAATCGATTATTTTAATAATTCTGATGCATTAAGAAATGGTGCTCATATTAAAATACTGTTTATTCAATATGAGAATAGAAATTGGTGGTCGTTATCAAAGAATGGTTATTTTGATAACGATGTGTTAATGTTCATTATTCGCAGATGAGATCGATAACTGCATTGTCTATCGACAATATATTGTTGCGAATGTTTTTTAAACAAAATCGGAAAATTAATACATATATTCTGATCAATATATAGTAGAATGATAATATAGTAGAATGATAAGAATAACAAAGTGTTCGTTGCCGATTAAAGTCTATTTAAATAGACTCCAATAGTAATAGCTCCAATCAATAGGGGCAACAGCAATAAAAAAAAGCCTATTAATAACACTGGGAACAATAAGGTTTCTGTTTCTCAACACCTGAATGGTAATTCTTATGCATTTTTAGCTGCTAAAAAAGAATATAAGATTAATAAAATTCCATCATCTACAGATTTTGAGAACAATGACATCAAAAAAGCTAAAAACGATGGTTGAAAGTTATCATGACGTTACAGTATTGGAAGTAATTTTTTTTCTAAATTTCGTTGATAAAAACAAAAGCTTTTTTTAGTTTTAAAATGTATTTTGCTTCGTTTTGATACGATTTTTCGAGATGTAGCAATTCGAAAATAGCAAAATTCTTTTCCTATGTAATGTATATTTTATTCAATCATAATACTCTGCATTATACGTGAAAAGTAAGTTCTTTTGTATTTACATAATATAAATTTTTTCAAGATTTACCATATATGTTTGACCTGTTAATAATAGAATTTATAAGACGTTCAAAGCAAAGTATCTAAAAATTGAAGAGTGATATACTAAAAAAAAATTACTAAATTTTAATAAATATTTATTTAAGTAGTATTAACAAAACATTTACTTATAGTAAATAAATATTTATTCAATAAAAAAATGATACTTAAATGAAATTAACGGTTCTTGTATCAAATAAATATATGTTTATATTTAGTTAATACTATTCAAACAAGTATTAAAATTTAGGATTTTTTGAAAAGTATATTCTTTTTCAGTAAAAAAAACCCTACAAGAACACTCATTACTTGTTAAGAAACAAAAAATCGATTAAAATTTATTCCTTAGTGTAATCAGGCTTGAAAACGTTAAGGAATTAAAACAATACCCGTCTCAAATTAATCAGTGAAGCCTGTTCGTTTGCTCAATATAGCAATCCAAATCGTTATTTACATCGTCCGAGCATCGAAGTAAGATACATGAATATGAAGAATAAATTTCTTTCATTATGATATGTTTCTTGATATTTAAAATATAAATCTCGGTATATACAAATGTTTTGTACAAGTGGTTGCAATAGAGAACAAAAACAATACAAGTAAATTTCTCTTGGGAAAGGTCGCACGTTAGAAACTGAAACTCGCGAGAGTACGCTCGCTGCGTTTAAACTCGCTATCGGATTTACTCCATGGCGTAATATATTTCTTTGTAAACGTCCGACGGAATGCTTTCTTCCTCTCTTCTTCATTTATTTCTCGAAGGATTTGCAAGATGAGAAAATAAACGACATCTTCATCGTAATCGGTGAAGAACGAGGTGAAGAATCTAACTTTAGACGAGCCTCACGGAAATCAAGTTATAGTCAACTCCATAATATAAAAAGCAAAGAAAATTGATGCAATTACAAACTAAGTGTATACTCCGCTTATATTAAAATTAACAAGTTTATAAGAAGGGGAGTTGAGCTTAGCGTCTGACACGCCCACTGTTTACAAATCGTAATTAAAATTACATTGCCATATTGCTACATGGAAAAAAAATGTATTAACAACAGTCTAACTTAAAATACCCTTAACTCAACAACAACATATTAATGAAACAAATAATATTTTATTAGAACAAGAGCGTGGCATATTTATTTCATTAGTATTATTATAGAATTAACAAGATTATTTTCAATTAGACTATTTGTTATCTAATACTATTATTACATAACTTTCTTTCATGTAGATGTAATTCGAGTTTCATTTTTTGGATATCATCGTATTTGTATTGCATTTTAACGTTTCGACTAACAGCAATCGGAAGTGCGAAAGAACTTTCTCTATTGCGTATTTTAAAAATAATTCTTAATTCTAGAAAGCTATCGATACCTAAAATTTACGTATTGATAGCAATATTGTATCACCCAATCGATAACGTTTTAGGATTCTAAAAATGTATTTAAAATAAATTGGATTTTTAAAATGTATAAAATAAATAAATAATGTCTTAATCCCTTCAGACCTGGTTTTATTAGAACCATGTTAAAAAATTGTTTTTAAATTCAATTCATGCGTACTTTAATAATTAATTCATATTAAACAATTAACTTTTTTCAAAATTTTAACTATTTTTTTTCAATATATACATTATTATGTACATCGGATCTCAGATGAAATCGACAGAATTAAATAATTTCAATTTTAATTAAGACCGCAAATATAAATACCTACACACAACTGAGTAAGGAAAACCTCAATGATCTCTATGCTGGATCTCTATTAATTAAATAATATTTTCGATGTGAATTTATATACATATATCCAGTTCCATAAATAAATAAATAAATGAGACAGAGAAGAGCCGTACTTGATTGATGATGGAGCCGCTTAGCTGCGATTTGACGAGCAGAGACCTAAACACCTCGAGCTTCACGTTTCCGCTGGTGGGCGAGCAGACCTTCTCGTAAACTTCTCTGTAGAACGCCGGTATAGAGCCTGGGATTTGCGGGAGAGAAACATGAGAGAAAGAGAAAGAGAGAGAGAGAGGGAGAGAGAGACAGGTCTCCCCGATGAAGTCAAACTGTCGCTCACTCGCTCTCTCGCTCGACGGCTTCTATAACGAGGCCTCCGAGAGTGGCGTTCCTAGCGCGGCGTCCGCTCGCTTTACCTGCGACCGCTCTCGTCGGTCGCGCGTGACGAAATGTACGCGGAATACGTGCATGCGTTCGTACCGGGTCGATCGTCCCGCGAACGAGCGTGCTTTTATTAAAGGGAACCTGAGTGACTTTCTCCGTGTTTCTTTACGAGAAATCGCACCTTACGGAAATCTACCGCATTGTATTTTCCTGGGAAAAATCGTCCTTTTCCTCAACCCGACATCGTACTCTATTGTTCCATTTACGCGCAGGCACGTTAAAACCTGTGCAACCATTACAAAATCTCTTGCAAGATTCGCATGAAACTTTGGAAGCCAATCGAGTCGCTTTGGAAGCGAATCGATATTTTGATATATAATTAGATATATAATTAAAATTATATTATAATAGATATGTTATAATTACATGAAAAGAACAATTTTGAAGTGTTTAAAAATTTATTGTTAGACAGATACAGATTTGGAAATAATCTTGTTGAATTATTAACATAATTATATGTAGAAATAATAATAATAATAATAATAATATGTAGAAAACAAGCATGATGAGCTACAAAAAGTTTTGACATTCTAGCGATCAACTTACCCAGACAGCACAGAGATGAATAGGAGTTTATATTAGAAAATTAATTTTAAAGAATACATACAGAATTAGAAAAATGAATATCTGTAGAATTCTTGAAGAAACCGCAATTCATTTCGTCTTAAAGTATTCCTCAAAAATTCATTATAATGAATACTTCGTATAACATGGTGCATGTAATTTCTTGAGATATTCTTATTATGTTCTTCTATGAATTCTTTCCTAAAGAATTACAATTCAGGAAAAGAGAAAACTTGAAGAATACTTTGCGAATTCACTGTGCTATCTGGATTAAGCGTCCTACAAAATTATTCTAATGATTTCCAAATTATTTTCAAATCTGTATTTATATAACTAAATTTTTAAATACTTCGTTTTTAAATACTTTAGCTAAATCATTCTTTCTATGTAAATTATAATAAAATTATTTGACCTTCTCTCTCTCGAGATCAAACGATCAAACAAATTTAACTTCAAGTATGTACAGTAAAATGTCATTTAATGAAAAAAATACATATATTCAAGCAAATTGACTTATTTATCGTTATTTTGACATTAGACGTCGTCTTAACAAAAAAATGACAATCAGCATGCTGTCTGGATATATATTATTATATTATATTATTATAGGGCAAAATGATCCAATTTCGAACATGATACAATTCTGACAAATGGTACAATTTCGAACATGGTACAATTCTTCAAATAAAATTTAAATTCAATTATCGAGATTCAAGTTTGGTAAATCTTTCATTGCGGAAGGTATTGAAGGATTCTAAACAGAAAAAATTAAACTTGAGCTTCGAAAATTGAATTCAAATTTTATTTCGGAATTGTACCACGTTCGAAGTTGTATCCTATTTACTTATATATATATATATATATGTTTTTTTAGCAAAATTTCATCACGCAAGAAAGAATAGCATCTAATGAAATTCCAAGGTGAAATCAAAGAGCGATTATGAAACATCTTATGCGTCATTATTGCCGTGTTAACACAGTCATACTAAAATTGTACATCTCAACTTCCCTTCAACGCCAGCACGTTTCGATACTTTCGATGGCATTCCGCTCGTGCGATTTAATCGATTCGTGTTCGAAAAGAACGCGCGCATTCTCTCCACTAAAATCCGAGCTCGATAGATCTTCTCTATGTAAAGTTTATTAATGCAATTTATATAACAGAAAAATGTGCATTTAAAATTTGCATAAAAATATAATAATATTTCTATGCAAATTTTATATATATTACCCAGTAAACACAAACTAATAGTAACCATAATATCAATATTATAATTTCCTATTACAATGTAACTGTAAAGTACACCGTGTGCTATATTTCATTGTTGAGTACATGGAAAGAACGGTTTTGCTGATCTAAAAATTTAGCTAGATACAGATTTAAAAATAAATCTGTTGGATCATTAAAATAATTATGTAGGATACTTAAACTGGTTTTTAGCATGTCAAAATTTTTGTTATACTTTTTTACTATACAATCTAACTGTTACATACATACAACGTATACCACATTTTATTTATATTATTGAGTACATAGAAAGAACAGTTTTGCTAAAGTATCTAAAAATTTAGCTAGATACAGATCTGATAATTCTGTTGGATAATTATGTAGGACTCAAACTAGTTGCTAAAATGTCAATATTTTTTATAACATTACTCATTATGCTTGAGATTCCTACGTGATTTGATGGATCAACAAAATTATTTTTAAATCTGTATCCACAGCTACACATTTTTAGATATTTTAGCAAAGTCGTTCTTTTCGTGTAAGAAATTATAATATTGATGTTACTGTTAGTATTTATCGGATGGATACCGGTATTTAGTCTCGACCATATATATATTTGGCGCTTTCTTACTAATTTGAATAAAGTTTATTAACAGTATAAATCAAATGGTAAACCAACGCGTTATCGTCATCGGGTCGCGCATACGCGATCACATCGCGGATGTCAAGGCGCTTTAAAGATCAGCTGATTACCGCATCCCGGACACGCGCGTCTTAAGATCTCAAAAAAACAGGAGAAAAGAAAAGAAAAAGAGATGAAGCTACAGCTTCCGGTCGTGAGGCTTGTTCTCGGCGAACGGAAGGCAAACGAGAGACGTCCGCCCGATGTGTCCCGTATTCTCATTGCGTTCGCATTGATAAGGAGATCGGGACATCCGGGGGGAAAAGATAGAGAGAAGGGAGCGACCGCGTTTTCGTGAGGCGCAGCGACGACGCGACGCGGCGACGAGAGAACCGGTTGACCTCGCGAGAGACCTTGTCACAGAGATTCTTTCGGGGTTCTCGGTGAGACTTATTATCATTTACCGAACGACAGATCGGTCGACGCCATGTTGGATCATCCGTGGATCATCCGTGGACCATTCGGTGGCGAAGAGAGAGAAAAAGAAGAATAAAGTTAGTCGTCTCCGACGAGTCGATCTACGACACCCAAGACGTCGAAATTGAAGTTTTCGTTCCGGTCGCGTGAATATGAACGATTTCGTGACACGATCGAGCTGCTCGCACTCGCGACACTCACGACACGTCAACAATACGATGAGGACAATGCGCGAAAAACACTCAGACAACGTACACTGTCGCCGCGCGGCGGAAGACTGACGACGACGACGACGGGACACGTCGTGCTGGTCGTGCACGGTGGAACGCTGATCCTCATCCTCGTTCCTCGTGCCTTGCCTCGTGGTGTTCGCGCGATCGCGGCGGCTCACCGCGGAGTCCTCGTGAAGCGATGAGCCCAGCGGAACGGAGCATGCTGCGGTGTTTACGTCTTCTGCTTCGGAGTCGCCAGAGAAATGTATATATACTTGCATCTCAGCATACACTTTAATTCAATTATCTCTTATTTTTCTTTTGTTTTCTTAAAGAATATCTTTTTTAATTAACGGAAGCAGGGTTGGGTAGTGCTAAATTAAAAAGATAAAAGTTAAGTTGAAAAGTTAAAAAGTTAATTAATATTAACTTAACTTAGTTACATTTTAGATTCTTAACTTTTTAACTTAATTTAGTTACATTTTATCGGTAACTATTAACTTTTAATTTGATTTTTTTTTAAGTCAATCCTCAGACACAATGCGAGAGGATAATGAGTATATAATTCAGTAATTTTATATTGTATAATCGTTACTTGTGAACAAAAATAATTAGATTCTTTAATAAATATGCTGTGAGAAAGAAAAAATACGAAAATTTTTATGTAAAATGGTCAAACTTTTTCTTTTTTCTTTTTTTTTTTTTGGTTGTTCGTTTGGGCCAAATTTAACTTTTCAATTGCTTTTTTTATTAACTTAACTTTTAATTCAATTAATTTCATTATGGATTAACTTGTATATTTTAATTAAATTAAATTTTCAAGGCTGTTAAATTTAATTTAACTTACTATTAGTTAAAAAAAAATTAACTTACCTAATCCTACGGAAGTATTACGTTTTAACGATGATAGTTCGACGGATGCGTTTGTTTTTATTTCGAAGTTGAAAGATGTTTTAATACTTCTAATACCTGTTTCTACCAGTGATTTAACTTTAATCTTGGTTCAATTAACTCTTAATCTTTTTTTAAAAATTAGAAAAAATGAAAAACAAATTGATCGGTAGATATATAAACAATTGTTTTTTATTTTTATTTCGATATTGGAAGATTTTCAAAAGTTATAGAAACTATATTGATACTATGAATAAGATTAATTTTATTAATGTATATATAAGTAACAATAACATAAAGAATATTTTTTGAAATAAGAAATGAGAGAATGATAACAATACATATAAATAAATACATAAAAATATAATATAATAAAAATATAATAATACATGAAAAATGAAATATAAAAAAATAAAATATAAAATATATGGTAAAAATAAGGTTAGAGAAAAAAAGAAAAATGCATCTTTTGACGGAATTGATATCTATCTTTTTAAAAAAGCCCTTATTAAATATGAAGATAATTTTACAGAATAATATTATCAGAATATAATTTTACAAATAATTTATCTGCTTACATTTCAGACAGTTGAATCATTATGATTATAATACTTGGCATTATCTTGGCATTACGTTTCTATCTGTAAAATTTATTTATAACTTATCAGGTGATTGAAATACAATAAAAAATATACGATCGATTATATTTGACACACATAAAATCCTATCTATGTCACGTAATAATGTCGCATCTCGCTATAGCACTTACATGTAGATTATATCAATGAAAAAATCAATTCTGTCCCGGTTCAGTCAATGGAAACAATTTCGACGACGGTCTTTCGTCCTTAACTTCATAAAATTCTTTTCGTAGCTGATCGGACGTTTGACTATCCAGCGACTCCATTAGCCGTATTTTCTGCGCTATCTCTTGCTCTATTATAGGTCGATACTTCTTCCCCATTCCGAGACTCTCCATATCGTGCAAGAAATCCATTCTTTCGCGGATCCCTTGCGCCACTTTGAGAAACAGAAGGACACAATTTATCGTCACGACACCATCAATTTCCAAAAACGCGCATTTCAAAAATCTATTTTAAATTTAGAGAGAAAGTTCTGCTGCTTGTACGATTGTCATAAATAATGATAATTTCAAAAGAGTGTTTCTGACAACTTTCTTAAAATTTTGTATTTTACCTTACAACTATAAAGGTGGCAACTATACGAATTTTATATTGCTCTCTTACTTCAAAAGTGACACAACTCAAAAAACGTGATTTTCAAATTATCACTGTGAATGAGTTAGGTAAACATCATTATCAATTATCAAAAATGATTATCAAATTAACTTCATAAAACATCGTCAAAATTGTCGCAATTTCAAAAGGATAGTTAAATAAAATCATCTCAATTCAAAAAGGATGATTTAAAATGAATTTTTTTCAAAATTTTAACTATTTTTCCAACAGACATATTATGCACATTTCAGATGATGTTAATAGAATTAAATAATTTCAACGGATAATATCTTCAAATTTTTAATGTGCATTACAATTTTTTAAGGGGTTAATTAATAATTTTCTATCGAGATGAAAATAATTTTTCCTTTCTTGAGATATGTAATTTTTTAGTTGTGTCGCTTTTGAAAAAAAGAGCGATAGAATTAATGTACATTGTTTGTTTTCTTAATCAGTAATTATGAAATAGCTTATTCAAGAGTACATTAATTTCACATATAAAACTTTTACAGTTGTCATTTTTATAGCCGTTTCTACGTCCGTGTCTTCCCATTTCTATGTCTATATGTCTTCTCTTCTGAGTGTAAAAGAGACTGTTGGTAACTTACAGTCATTCAGAAAATCCGTATTCTCAGGTATTTCTGGCTCCCGTTTAGCCCTGTGAAGGATCTTAGGACCGTGAGGAGTCTCTGGCATGTCCTTTCCAAAAGCCATCATACATGCCAAGTGACGCTTTTGTTTCTCCTTGTTGGCTAATTGCGTAAAATTCATGTCATTCAACGTGCGTTTATATTTGATTACTATCTTGAAGAAAGTATTATTTCTAATTATTACGTAAGGGTGCTGTCCTCCTATATTGTTCTCTCTCGTAAGCACCGCTGCTTATAATCGTATCCTGTGAACGCCTCCTCCAAGCATTAGGAAATTTAACCTAACGGAAAATGCTACAGGATATTATTTTGAAATTATTTTCTAGAAAATCCTTTATATTGCGATATTTACTTGATAATTTTCGGCCTTATCTTTTGCTTTTTTCGTTCTGTCGATGGAAGGCGGTAAGGACTCACCCTTATCTACCGCGTCTTGAATCATTTTCCTTTGCATCATTGATAGCTTGGATTCCTCCATTAATACTAACATTTAACATTTGCCGGGCATTAAAAACACGTGACCGAATTGTAATAAGAAAAAACCAGTTGAAATTTTGACATAAAGTAAATCACGCGTTTAATATTGGTTACCATTTACTTACGCTTAATGAGATTCTTTGTTTCCTCGCTATATTTCGCCCTTGGGGGATTGTGAAATGCGCCCACTCCCAAACCAACCCTCTGATATTTTCGCTCCATTTCGGTTTCGAAATTGCGAATCCTCGAGAGCGCACGCGGAATCACGCTAATTGCACAACTGTCACGGACTGTCACGATCCTGCGGTCCTTGCGGCAGTTGCGGCTCGCCAAAGCGACAATCACGCATTCAACCCCGTTGGCCTCGTAATCTACCATTCCGAGACGCGCGTCGCGTTTCTATGACTACTTGAAAAGATGACTCAACTTGATCGAACTAACTTTTAAATCGGAATTCGAATCGCAGGCCATTACTCACGAGTGGGCTTTAATTTCTGCAGCTGTTCACAGACGTATTCATATTTAATTAAAATTTGCTCGAATTCGTGATTAGATTTTGAAATTCGAAAGAAACTAGAATATAACTAAATTATTTGCTGTGTTTTTAGATTTGAACTTTTAAGGATGTATCTGAGCTATTCCAAAAATACAAGTAGTACCAAATTGATGAAACTTCGGAAAACTCTTCCTTTGTTATTTGTAATATACTAAAAAAAATTTCAAGTAGATTCACTAAACCATTAGAGAGTAATTATTATTTAAATTATGATGATTATAAAAATTTAATACTAGTACTGGTCAATTAATAACTTATTTTAAATATTAAAAATATTATTAATA